ATTGATAATAATCAGCTAAATAGTTTGAGGATCTATACAACTTTGTAACATGCAGAAAACAGCATTCTTAGAGAAACCAAAGACTGGAACTGAGGGAAGTTGGGGGGTGGGGGTGGGTGGGTTTTGTGTGGGAGGGGGGGAGGGAGGAAAAATGGGGGGAAAACAAGGATGGCATTTTTTTGGATAATATGTCTTGTTTTAATTTTGAATAAAAAAAACAAAAAAAGAGACTGCATTTCTAAACCTCTCTCTGTGAATATTGAGTAGAAGAGATTGGTAAGAACTTCCTTGTCTACCTCTCCTGGCAGCCTACCATGGGGGGATTGTATTCCCTGGTGACTGACACAAAGGAACTTAGGGAGGGCTTTGCAAGGAGCAGAGAGCTGAAGTGGAAAGTCCCCCAAATGCATAAGTGGTTTTTTTGGGGTTTTTTTGAAAAAAAAATTTTATTATATATTTTCTTAGGTTGCAAAAGTAGGTGCATTGTCTCTTTTTTCAGGTCGCAGAGTCTTTTCTACAAATCAGTTACATCCAATGTGAGACAGTGTTGCATACATAGTGGTTGGCTATTGCAAGAACAGGATGTTGAACTACATGTTTTGATCCAATAGGGCTCTTCTTGGGTTCATCTCATACATGCCATGCATATTTCCCCCCAATTCCCCAGGCCTTTATGGCTTCATGGTGAACAGTGTATACTAAAAGAATATTTATTCATTTATTTAGACAATTTATATACCACTTAATTACAATTGTTTCTAAGTGGTGTGCAAGAAACACAATACAATGATTTTTATTTTTTTAAAAAACCAGCTAAAACTATATAAATAAATAAATTACGGGAGCAGTTTTGCCTGTTTACTGACAACACATTTTCATTTATTGAAATATGCCATTAAAAAGGGGGGGCATTAAAAAAATGATCCACGAGGTGGTTCACAAATAAAGAGCTTAAAAAACAATATAACTATCGTAAAAACCCACTAGCCTCAGCTCTATGGTTAATTATATTCTAAAATTCAAAGCCTTTCTCCCTTCCTTTTCCATAATCCTGAGCATATTTATAAAAGGCTCAATGATACCAATTGTCCAGGAGGCAGATTATTTCAATTGAAGACCCAGAGTGCATTTACAAGTGATCATTTGCAGGAGAGCACACTTCATGCAATTTCGCATTTAAATCTCCTGTTATTTCTCCCTCCAGAACGCCAATAGCTTCAAACTGATGAAGGCGAAGAAGTCAGGAAATATATTCAGCTTAGATTATTACAGCCTCCATTCATGTAGAGCAGTAGCTAATTATTTCCCTTCTGCTTTCGCTACAGGTAACTACGGCAAAGGGATGCACCTCTCCAAGTAATACTTTGGAATATGCCGCAGCAAAAATGCTAAGATTGCTTCTAGATGCCTGAAGTCATTTTGTTTAAGCACAAAACGGCAACTGAACACATAGACACTGATAGGGCAGGAGAAAAGGAAAGTATTTGTTGCGCCGCAGTTATATCCCATTTTCTTTCTCCAAGAAGTTCAATGTGGTTTATGTTAAGTTGTGGGTGAACATATGAGACGACACAGCGATTCTTCAAACAGCTCTTGTTTATTCACAGGCCAGGACAGAACTGAACTGAAGGGGTCAGTCAGCCTGCTTATATAGAGCTCCTGTACAATGTAACTGTAACAATTTTCGAAAACTAGCCAATCACTGAACATCACTTTAGATCCCTTATTTGCATAACTATCTACAGTATCCCCCTGCTGGCCCAGGGTGAGAACTTCAGTACATAACAGTTTACACCCCAGTGTGGTAGGTTAGCTGAGAGCCACTGACTATTCCAAGGTCACCCAGTGAGCTTCATAACTGACTGGGGATATAATAATAATAATACAATAATAAATTTTTATTTATACCCTGCCCTCCCCAGCCAGAGCCGGGCTCAGGGTAGCTAACACCAGTAAAATCACAATAAAAACATAATAGCGGGGGGAAAGAAAAGAAAAGAAAAGAATTTAAAATATAGTTAAAATACAATTTAAAATGCAGCCTCATTTTAATAGTAGCCCATAGATCAAAACCATAAAGGAAGGGAAACATAAGGATCAGACTTAGTCCAAACCAAAGGCCAGGCGGAATAGCTCTGTCTTGCAGGCCCTGCGGAAAGATGTCAAGTCCCGCAGGGCCCTAGTCTCTTGTGACAGACCGTTCCACCAAGTTGGGGCCAGTACTGAAAAGGCCCTGGCCCTAGTTGAGACCAATCTAACCACCTTGCGACTTGGGACCTCCAAAGTGTTGTCATTTGTGGACCTTAAGGTCCTCTGCGGGGCATACTAGAAGAGGCGGTCCCATAGGTACGTGGGTCCTAGGCCGCATAGGGCTTTAAGGTCAAAACCAGCACCTCAAACCTCTGGTTTCCCAGAATCTAGTCCAATACTCTAAGTACTACACCATACTAATTATTAAATAAAAGAATGCATAAGGGGGGGAAGAATATTTTATTCAGTCAAAAAATTGCAGAGGGGCTGCAATGCAGATTAAGACTAAGCAGCCCCACAACAGGGAGCCTAAATAATAGTTTAAATTATATTTTTTACTTTATGGAACATCGCTGTCAAATATCACCATTCTGTTTCAAAAGGGAAGGGGGGGGAGAGACATCCCCTAAGGCTATGAACTACACTTTCATAATTATATTAATGTATCTGAATTTTTTACTGCCTCCCATCACCAAATCAGATCCCATGTACCATTTCCTTTTAAATGAGATGCAATTTTTACAGAGCTAGGGGGCAAGTCAATCAATAATAATAAATATTGTAAATGCTGGCTAAAATCTTAATTAAATATGGAACTGCAGAAAGCTTTCATATTCTTTAAACTTTATATACAAATTCATATTTCATATTGCAGGGAATGCTACCACATCCTCCGACATTTCTCCAATGAAAATAGGGACATCCTATTCAATAATAGGGACACGGGTGGCGCTGTGGGTTAAACCACTGTGCTGCTTGGGCTTGCCGATCAAAAGGTCAACGGTTCAAATCCCCACCACGGGGTGAGCTCCCATTGCTCGGTCCCAGCTCCTGCCAACCTAGCAGTTCGAAAGCACAGCAGTGCAAGTAGATAAATAAGTACCGCTCCGGTGGGAAGGTAAACGGTGTTTCCGTGTGCTGCTCTGGTTTCTCCAGAAGCGGCTTAGTCATGCTGGCCACATGACCTGGAAAAACTGTCTGCAGAAGTGGACAAACGGCGGCTCCCTCGGCCTGTAAAGCGAGATGAGCGCCGCAACCCCAGAGTCGTTCACAACTGGATTTAATTGTCAGGGGTCCTTTTACCTTTCCCTTTATTCAATAATAACATTAAAAAACCTTCCCTAAACATGACAGACTTCAGATGGCGCGGGGGTCAGATAACTCCATACCCTCTAACATTTCTGTGATGAACATAGGGATGTCCTAAGGAAAAGTGGGACATTCTGGGATCAAATCAGAAACTGTATATCCAGGACTGTCCCTGGAGAATAGGGACGCTTGGAGAGTCTGTACTATGGTTCCCTGACTAACAGGAAGCATAACTCAGTAATTTGTAAAAAGTGTTTATTTAAAAGTTGGCAGACATGTGTCCACAACCAGCATCTAGTTCTAGAGTTCAACAGCGAAAGGTTAACCCAACAATTGTGTAGATGAGACTAAGAGATATTGTCTCTTCTTCTTGGTCATCTGGTGGGTCATTGTTTGCAACTGTATCCTCTCCCTCTTCCAAGCAGATCCTTATCCCGAGGAAATCCCTGGTGATAGAGGGCTTTGCCCCAGCCAAATGAGTGATCCTATGAAGTCTCTGGACTTTCCACCAGGTCAATTGCAATCTTCAGTCTTGAGGCCTGGGCATAAAGGGAAAGAATGAGGAATGAGGCACAGTTTGTGATGTGGTTGGAGGGGTTATCAGAATGGATAGGCAGGTGAGGCACACATGAGAAAGGGAATCTTCAGGCTGCCTTGAGGCTCTTGTAGGTTTTTCCCAGTCCTCACTTGTACTATAGTTCTCTGTAGGGTCCAAAGCCTCTTCCTCAGAAGAGCCATCTGCAGAATCTTGAGGATCCTGGTGCCATGTTGTGCCTATGTTTGGCACCTTGGAAATGGTTACCTGTTCCCTTGTATGTTTATCACAGATCCTATGATCTGTTGGTGTGATGTAATGTGAAGAGCATAGGCTTTTCTGTTGTGTGGTGTATTCTGTGAATCAGCCTGCCAGAGGACACTTTGCCTGGGCTAAAATATAGATGCGCTTTTACTCTCGCAAGATTGAATGTATTGCCCTTGGCTGTACTTGAGGGACGATTCCAACAGATTCCACACGAAAAATGCTTATGTCCCTGTGGAGATGGCAGTACTGAATCGGCGGCACTGTTGAATGGTTTAATATGTAAAGGTTCATCATTGTTCCACTCGATGTGTATGTCTTTAAGGGGCCAGAGAAAGGGCCAGAGCAAAATAACGAGACCCAGCTTTACAGCTGTGAAACATAGCAGGTGCTGCTGAGTTGTATTGATTAAGCTGTGTTGGTAATTGGGTGTAGTATATAAGGAGCAGCACCTAGCTCTCCCATTACCCTTGGGGATGGGTTGGTGGTTGGGTCATGTTTGTTTGTTAATGTATTTAGTGTAAAAGGAGTTTTTGTTTTTCTTATTAAAACCTTGTTTAAGTTATTTTTGAGTCCCTTTTAATGCATGGTCTCCCCAGCAAGCTCTCTGCAGCGCTACCATACTGCAAAAAGTCAACATCTTTGGTTATGGGCCCAGCTGCTGAGTGGATGACTGCATATTTTTGGACTCTGAGAAAGGTTTGAAAACTCCTTCTCCTGTTAGCGTAGTTCTGTGGGTCTGGAAGAGTTCCAGAATGGTTGACCGGGTTCCTGAAGCTGAGAAGGCTCTGGTCTTCCCACAGCTGACAGATGAGAACTATAGTTTATGGTCTTTTCGGGTGGAGGCGCTTTTGACCTCTAGAGAAGTATGGACCTATGTAACTGATGACCCTCCTGACCCTGTGACTAATGCTTGGTCGAAAGGAGATGCGAAAGCCAGGGCGATAATTAATTTGGCAGTCAGCGACCAGCAAGTAGTCTATATAAGAAATAAGAAAACTGCCAAAGAAATGTGGGACAGTCTTGCAGCAGTGCATGTTAGAAAAGAGTCAGCGTCTGCATTGACGTTTTTCAAGCAGTTGTACCAGACGAAGTTGCAGCCTGGTGGTGATTTGGCAGCACACTTGAGACGTCTGGAGGCAATACGCGGCGAATTAATTCGAAGGGACATGGAGATACCTGATATTCAGTATGTTTTCATCATCCTTTGTTCCCTTAATGAGGACTTTGATGGTATAGCTAGCCAGATATCTGCCGTTCCACCAGCACAATTAACTGTGGAAGGGGTAACGGCAAGATTAATGGGCGAGTTGGACAGAAGGGAGGCTTGTGCCATAAGCACTCCTATTTCCAGAAAGAATGAGGAACGCCATATGCAAACTTGTGGTGATACAACTGCATTTAAAGCTGCAAAGCGTTGTTGGTTCTGCAATAAGCAAGGACATTTTGCAAAGGACTGCAGATCCAAAAGAAAGCAAAGTACTCCCAAGTCTGTTTCTGTTCGTCAGTCACGGTCGTCAGCTCAGCAGCCGGCATCGTACCGTAAAGACAGAAACGAGCCGCGAGCTTTTCACGCTAGCACAAGAGATCGTAAAAGAATTAAAGGTGCCAAGTGGAATTCTTTTATTGTGGACTCAGGAGCATCTCAGCACGTTTGCAACGATCGAAGCTTGTTTATTTCTTTCGAAGAGGAAATTGGTAATGTACATTTAGCCAATTCACAAGTCTTGCAGTCGCTTGGCAGGGGTACTGTTAAACTTGACTCTTTAAACATTACTATAGCGAACTGCATTTACTGCCCATCAGTGGACAATTTATTGTCAGTAAGGTGTTTTGCTCGTCAAGGCATAACTGTGCGTTTCTTAAAGTCAATGTGTGAGTTTTTCGAGGGGAACAAACGTCTATTGTATGCCCGGGAATCTGATGGTTTATATAGACTGTATTTTCGCACCTACTCCCAATCGCCTATAAATTGCAGAGCAGCACAGTCAAGCCAGGGGTTGAGGAATGTAAGGCCACATTCTGGGTGTGTCCATGAGGCGCACAGAATTCTGGGACATCTGAATTTTGCTGATGTAATTAAGACCAAGAATATTGTTAATGGCCTCAACTTAAAACCATGTAAATTCTTTATGCAATGTCTATCCTGTTGCAAGAATAAGATTAAGGTTGCACGCAAGGGTAGGTGCTCAGATAGGAAAGTAACTGAGCCATTTGAGCGTGTACATTGTGATTTAGTTGGGCCACTCCCACCATCCTTAGGAGGTTCTAAGTACTGGCTTACCCTGATAGACCAGTATAGTAGATATTGTTGGACTTATGCAATAGCTGAGAAGTCCCAAGCATTTGAGAAGTACAAAGTTTTTGCAACTGGGTAAAAACACATTTTAACAAACCTATTAAGAACCTTTTTCTGACAGGGGCGGGGAATTTGTTTCTGAGGATTTTGAGAAATTCCTGGAAGCGCAGGGGACTACTCATGAGTTATCTTGCCCCGAAGTCCCTGGCAAAATGGGCTTGTTGAAGTTGTGCAGCGTGACCTGCAGGCAGGGGTTAAAACTTATCTGCATGATGCTAATCTGCCCAAAGACTTTTGGGCTGAAGCGCTCAATGCCTTTTGTTATGTTAGAAATCGCAGTTATCATTCTGGTTTAGATGTCACCCCCTATGAGAAGCTGTTTAAAAACGCCCTAATCTGAAATACCTACGCATTTGGGGTTCAGATGTAATAATGCATTATCCCGCTAAGCAGAAATTGGGTGAACGTAGTGTCCAGGGAAAATTAATGGGCTACCAGCAGGGGGCGTACAGAATTTACATACCAGCAACTGGCAAATTTCATATTACCAGAAGCATGATACAAACTGTAAATTGGAATGGTGTTGCTGTTTTCCAAGATAGTAATGGTATAGATAATACTGAGGAAGAAGAGGTAGAAGAAGCAGCAGCAGCAGCAGGAAATGGTGCTTCTGAATTAATGGAAGAAGACAAAAAGCCTGTTGAATCTGATAATTTCTTTGATGATTTAAAGTCACAGGCACCCGAGGGAGGTTAGATTCTCTTGAGTTTTCTGACCGTGAGCTTAGCCAACAGGCATCTCTTCAGTCTGACAATGATGATTTACAACCTGAAACTAGTAGTTTACATAGTCCCATTAAGTCTGAGGAGTCTGACTCTCCTTCCGGACTGAGACGTTCAGATAGAAAGAGACAGAAGCCACAACGTTTTGCAGATGAACATTTTAATACTGTGTATGCCAATAAGGCAGTTTTTGAGCCAAAAAGCTACAATGATGTTCAGAATTTACCTAAGCACCAAGCTGTAAATTGGTATAAAGCTATGAACTCTGAAATAGCTTCTTTAAAAGAGCATAACACTTGGTCTCTTGTACCACAAACCCCAGATATGAGACTTATTGATTCAAAATGGGTTTATAGAGTTAAAATGAATGACAAAAATGAAGTTGTAAGGTACAAGGCAAGATTAGTTGCTAGGGGTTTTCAACAAATTCCAGGCGAAGATTATGATTTGTGTTATTCACCAAGTGTAAAATATGAAACAGTTAAGCTTTTGTTAAAAGATGCATCACAACGTGGACATTCTGTTTATCACCTAGATATAAAAACTGCATATTTGTTTGCAGATTTAAAAGAACAAATTTTTATGCGTGTCCCTGAAGGCATAGACGCCGCTGAAGGTTTGGTATGCAAATTAAATAAATCCCTTTATGGTCTGCACCAAAGTGGAAGGAATTGGCATCAAACTTTAGCAAAAGAATTGCTGGATATTGGTTTTTCACAGGGAAAGGCAGACAATTGTGTGTTTATAAAGGAAAGGGCAAACTCTGTAGCAAAAATATGTGTCTATGTAGATGACGTGTTAATTTCTACAAAAACTAAACAGGAATATGAACAGGTAGTAACACAGTTACAGAAGAAATTTGATGTGGTGGAATTAGGCATAGCTAAAAATTACTTATCCATGCAAATTGAGAAAGGCAAAAATGGATCTTTTCTGGTTCATCAAACTGCAAAAATTGACGATCTTGTTGAAATGCTATGTTTAGAAAATGCAAATGGGAAGGAAACGCCCATGGTGTGTGGTTTCACTTTTACAGGTGAAGATAAGCCATTTCCTAACAAAACTTTGTATCGTTCTGCTATAGGCAAGCTAAATTTCATTCAAAGAATCTCAAGACCAGATATAACTTATGCCTTTCACTTTCTGGCAAAATTTGTGGAAAAGCCCACTACACAATGTTTCTCTGCTCTTAAGAGAGTGGTAATGTACCTTAAACATACCAAACATTATAGGTTGCAGTTTACAACATGTATTGACAAAGGTTTTGAAATTTTCTGTGATGCATCTCATGCAGTGGAACAAAATAATTGCAGGGGTGTGTCTGGTATGGTGTTTTGTTATAATGGTTGTCCATTTGAATGGAAGTCCCAGACACAAACCATTATTTGTCTCTCCACAACAGAGAGTGAATTATGTGCATGTGTTCAGGCCACTCGTGATGTGGAATGGTATCTGCAAGTATTCGCAGACCTACAGATGCAAGTAACACTACCAGTAAAAGTTTACCTTGATTCCCAGAGTGGACTCGCTATCCTATGTTCAGAAACCAATACGCAGCGCACTAAAGTCTTAAGATTACGTTTACAGTTTGTAAAGAAACTAATTGCTGATGAAATGGTTGTATTTAAATATGTTCCAGGTGACAATCAAATTGCAGACATTTTTACTAAAGCACTTCCAAAAGGTATACATGAAAAACATGTACAAAGTATGCTTTATGTTTTTGTTCCACAATGATGAACCGCAGGGGAAATGTTGAATGGTTTAATATGTAAAGGTTCATCATTGTTCCACTCGATGTGTATGTCTTTAAGGGGCCAGAGAAAGGGCCAGAGCAAAATAACGAGACCCAGCTTTACAGCTGTGAAACATAGCAGGTGCTGCTGAGTTGTATTGATTAAGCTGTGTTGGTAATTGGGTGTAGTATATAAGGAGCAGCACCTAGCTCTCCCATTACCCTGGGGATGGGTTGGTGGTTGGGTCATGTTTGTTTGTTAATGTATTTAGTGTAAAAGGAGTTTTTGTTTTTCTTATTAAAACCTTGTTTAAGTTATTTTTGAGTCCCTTTTTAATGCATGGTCTCCCCAGCAAGCTCTCTGCAGCGCTACCATACTGCAAAAAGTCAACAGGCACATGCCCTTCTGACTTGCTCTCTTTATAAAGACTTGAGGAATGAGATTATCACCCCTCTTTTATTGTCCATTCTGGGTCGCCCAACCACTGCCAGTGTCCTTTCTCTTGGCAGATCAAGATGAGCAGGTGACAGCAAAGGTTGCAAGGCTTTTAGTAGGGGCAATCAAAATAAGATCCACTATTTGACTATTGATTCAAAATCCTAAAACGTATTTTATATAATTGACTTTTTATTTCTATTCTTTGCATATCGTATTGTTGTTTTATTGCTATGGCCGATGGCTGATGCAAATAAAGATTCATTCATTCATTCGTTCACACTTGCCTGGGCACATAAGAGAGAGGATTGCTACCATTTTACCTAAGGCAGATGGTCTTAAGGAAGCATTCTGGGATGTACTTCCAGGCAGCCAAGTAGAAACTATAGAATTGTTTCAGGAAGGAAGAGGTCTTTAGATGGCTGAGCATGGTGGACATGGATGAGCAAAAATCACAATCAGGGATGTGTTGGGATTTAAGTGATAAGCAGAGGAGAGAGATCATGGAAAACTTTAAAGGTAAGAAAGAGAAGCTTGTACAGTGGTACCTCGGGTTAAGTACTTAATTCGTTCCGGAGGTCTGTATTTAACCTGAAACTGTTCTTAACCTGAAGCACCACTTTAGCTAATGGGGCCTCCTGCTGCCGCTGCACCGCCAGAGCATGATTTCTGTTCTCATCCTGAAGCAAAGTTCTTAACCTGAAGCACTATTTCTGGGTTAGTGGAGTCTGTAACCTGAACCGTATGTAACCTGAAGCATATGTAACCTGAGGTACCACTGTACATGATCTGGGAACAAGAAACAACTGTGAGGTTTATGGGTGGTAACAGGAGCTACAAGAAAGGTGAATAATTCTGGCACTGTCATGTCAAACTTCATCAAATTAAATAAATCAAAATCACCATAATCTTTCTGTACGCATTTGCCAGGCTGCACCTAACTGCTCTGTTCCTCTTCCTGGTCACTTAAGCCACAAAAGTCAGGTGTTCGGATTCCCCCTCACATAGAGGAGTTACACATGCATACCTTGGTAAACATGTATAGCCCCTTTTCATGTGTGCCAAATGCAACACTCAGGATCACAAGACCTCAGGGACTGCCTCTTTCCATATGAACGTACCTGGACCCTGTGATCATCATCTGAGGCCCTTCTTCGTGTACCTCCTCTATGAGAAGTCTGGAGAGTGGCAACACAAGAACGGGGTCTTCTCTGCAGTGGCTCCCCATTTATAGAATGCTCTTCCCCAAGGAGGTTTGGCTGGTGTCTTCATTATACATTATCAAATCAAATATCTTTATTGCGGTCCATAGACCCACAAAACAGTTTCAAAACAAGATACAGTTAAAACAACCAAACAACAGGCGAAAGAGACCGAGGTAGTCTTTTGTTATGTCTAGAGAATGATGGTCTTTGTTTCTTGCGACCTCTGAAAGAAACTTTGCCATGGTCAGTATAATATCATTTGACCTATCCTCCAGAAGGTATTTAATATGGGAGGCTTCAGATTTTCCCGGCAAATTTGCTAGTAAGGGTTTCCTTATACACCTTTAGGCACCAGACAAAAATGTTCCTCTTTAACCAGGCCTTTGGCTGATGGACATCCAATGCCATTTTTAAATGTGTTGGTTTATTGGGTTGTTTTAATATTAATATTAATATTAATATTGTGTTTTTATATTGTGATTTTATGTTGTAACCGCCCTAAAACCTGCGGGTATAGGGCAGTATGCAAATTTAACAACAACAGCAACAACAACAACACACTTGCAGGGTATGTGGTTACCCAGCTTAACCCCGCTCCCTCCTCAATCAACAAAGGGAACCCAGCTGAACACTCATGGTGAGTGTGCTCCCTTGAAGGAATACCATGGTCTGATCACTACGCTCTGAAAGCCAGGATTGACTTTCCACCCCCACCCTGCTTAGGTGGCGAGCCGATTTGGGCTCGCCCGCAGAGGCTGATGGACCCTGATAGATTCCGCCAAGCCTTGCGGGACCTTGCTCCCCCTGGCGACTCATTGACTGAGCTTGTTGAGGGCTGGAATACCCAGCTCCTGGCAGCCATCGATGAGATCGCACCTAAGCCCCCTCTGCGACCCCGCAAAAACCGGGCTCCCTGGTTTACTGAGGAGCTCCGGAAAATGAAGCGGGACCTCAGACGGCTAGAGCGAGTATGGCGGGGTGCCCGTGACGGAGCCTCAAGAACATCTTATAGGGCTTTTATGAAAACCTACGAGATGGCAGTGAAGGCTGCTAAGAAGTCATACTTCTCGGCCTCCATTGCATCCGCTAGCTCTTGCCCGGCGCAATTATTTAGTATAATCAGGTCTTTAACGTCCCTTGAGGGACAGCCAAATTTAAATAACAATTTGACACACAGCTGTGAGGCATTTGCGAGCTTTTTTGCGGAGAAGGTCTTGTTGCTCCGCCATGACCTCCCGGCCAATTTGGATACAATAAAGGAACTGGAGGCCCCTCGACTGTCCTCGGGTCCAGTATTGGACCACTTCGACCGGATATCCCCAGCCGATGTGGACAGACTCCTCCGAGCTGGAAAGCCCACCACCTGTCCTCTCAACCCGTGCCCGTCTTGGCTGATTAGAGCGTGTCCAGACGAGGTGCGGGCCCTCCTGGGGATATCATCAATTTGTCCCTTGGCACGGGGACATTCCCAGGGGAACTGAAGGAGGCAGTGGTGCGCCCGCTCTTAAAGAAAACATCATTAGATCCTTTAGATCTATCGAATTACCGCCCAGTTTCAAATCTTCCGTTCCTGGGTAAGGTGATTGAGAGAGCGGTTGCTGAACAGCTTGGTGGTTTTCTGGATGAAACATCGGCTCTGGATCCATTCCAGTCCGGCTTCCGTGCTGGTCATGGGACCGAGACGGTTCTGGTTGCCCTAACAGATGATCTTCGTAGACAGCTGGATCGAGGCGGGTCGGGGCTGCTGATTCTTCTAGATCTGTCAGCAGCCTTCGACATGGTCGATCACGAACTTCTGGACCACCGCCTTGCCGACGTGGGGATCCAGGGCACAGTCCTTCAATGGCTGCGCTCGTTTCTCTCTGGTCGGGGACAGAGGGTGGCGCTTGGGGGGGAATTGTCATCGCGCCACTCCTTGGTGTGTGGAGTACCTCAGGGTGCGATACTCTCCCCGATGCTTTTCAACATCTTTATGCACCCCCTCGCCCAGCTTGTTCGGAGTTTTGGGCTGGGTTGCCATCAGTATGCCGATGACACCCAACTCTATCTGTTGATGGATGGCCATCCTGACTCGGCCCCAGACACACTGACCAGATGTTTGGAAGCTGTGGCTGGATGGTTACGTGGGAGCCGGTTGAAGCTAAATCCTTCGAAGACAGAGGTCCTGTGGCTGGGACGGGGCGATATGGGATTGGGGGGGCAACTCCCATCTCTTGTGGGGGCGCAATTAGTGCCAGCACTGTCCGTTAAGAGTTTGGGTGTAATCTTCGACACCTCCCTTTCCATGGAGGCGCAGATTGCAGCTATAACAAAGGCGGCATTTTTCCATCTCCGCCAAGCTAAGCAGTTGGCTCCTTACCTCTCTCGCCCTGACCTAGCCACTGTGATCCACGCGACGGTCACCTCCAGACTGGATTATTGTAACTCGCTCTATGTGGGGCTGCCCTTGAGACTGACCCAGAAACTCCAGCGGGTGCAGAATGCTGCAGCGAGACTCCTTACGAGGTCTTCGCTGCGAGATCACATTCACCTGGTGCTATACCAGCTGCACTGGCTCCCGGTGGAGTACAGGATCAGGTTTAAGGTGCTGGTTTTAACCTTTAAAGCCCTATACGGCCTAGGACCCTCGTACCTACGGGACCGCCTCTCCTGGTATGCCCCACATAGAAACTTACGGTCTTCAAATAAAAACATCTTGAAGGTCCCAGGCCACAGAGAAGTTAGGCTGGCCTCAACTAGATCCAGGGCTTTTTTGGCTGCGGCTCCGATCTGGTGGAACACTCTGTCACAAGAGACCAGGGCCCTGCGGGACTTGACATCTTTCCGCAGGGCCTGCAAGACAGAGCTGTTCCACCAGGCCTTTGGCCAGGGCACAGCCTGACTCCCTCCCTCGGCAATCTTCGCGGAGCTCTGGCCCAATGGTTGCCAGTGGCTTGAATTAATTAATTTTATAATGAATGATTTTAGAATGTTGTTTATGCTGTACTTTTGTACTGTTTTATTGTTGTTAGCCGCCCTGAGCCCGGCTTCGGCTGGGGAGGGCGGGATATAAATAAAATTTATTATTATTATTATTTATTATTACCAATTCTTATTCATACACATTCTAAAAGCAAACCAAGAGTGATGTGTGCCTCTGATTTTAAGGTATACGTGTAGCTTGGAATTGTAAGAAAAACTGGTATAAATCATACAAGCTGATAATCTTGCATACATGCTTCTAATTGGAAGTTTTTGAAGCTAAGCTTCCACTACAAAGAAATTGTAATGAAATAACATCCTTGCATTTAATTATCTTAGTGCTCCTGCTTTTCTCATAATGCTTATAATATACCAACACATGCCACAGGCTATCTTTTGACAAACTATTTCTCTAATTTCAAGAAGAATGCAGGCTTTAAGAAGATTTGATTTAAATTTCATATATCGCTTAAAAGCTGCCTTACTGTTTATTAGTAATTTAAAGCAAGCTCTTTTTGAAAAAGCTTCTGAAATGCTAACAACATTCTTTTATTAGACATATCGGGAGAAAATAATCCCTTTATTTGTGTGTGCATTTAAACCTTCCACTCATTGCCACATCAGTTTATGGACTGCCTAAGGGATTGTTTCTGCCACTGCCTATCATTGGCAAATGGGGAAGGTGCAGGACCTTTTTTCAGCCAGAACTCACCGGAATTCAGTTCTGGCACCTCTCAGGTGGACACCACTGACAATCTAAGAGAATGAGGGAGGTCTTCATGGTGAGTTCTGGCACCTCTTTTTCTAGAAGAATAGCACTGATGAAAGTATATTTCAGGTAAGTCCCCAGGCGTTCCTGGTGGTCCTAACAATTTTAGTGGGTGTAGGTTTTCGAGCTTACCTTATCGTTTAGAGGTGGCCAAGGTTCTTCCATGTGTTTCTCCTTCCAGTATACATTCTTTCAGCACTCTGCAGCCTTCCTGGTTGCCCGTGCTTCCTGTTCTGAAGAAGCACAATGGGAGGAGTTACCTCATGCTGTCTTCCTCTGGGTTTCAGCTGAAGCATGGGCACCCAAGGAGGCTGCAGTTTTAGGACCACTAGAGAGATGGTTTGTAGAATGAATGGACAACTCTTGAGACACTTCAAAAGCAAGGTATTCACACAAAAAACTTAACTTCATCTATGAGGATTTCACCCAAAATACCAATTTCTCCTCTTCCCCATTAAGCGATGAATAGTTGGGAAGAGACAGGATACATTTTTGACACAGCACTAGAAGCATGCCATTCAATGCTGTGAAGCGAATTTTCATAGTAGCAGTTAAAACAAAAACCAACAACAACAACAAAATCATGGAAAAAGGCTCCAGCTGGATTGGAAATGATCTGAAGTCAATATAATCATTGACATGAGATGAGCAAGGGGGTTATTTTCAGTCAATCTGCTCAGATAAGATTTCTTCCTTCAGTGTATTGCAAAGTCCATAACACTGTTTTCAGTGTTTTTGCTGAAATAAGTTCTTGGGGTTTATTTTGACTCACCCTAGAGATAGCACAAAACATTGACCCTGAGCTTTTTTTATTATTAAAGAATCCTATAAATATAACGGGAAAAGTCGCTCAGAGAGGCTTACTTATTATAACTTCTTCCTTTGTTCCTTAATTGTCTCAATCTATAACCCAGGGAGGGTTATGACATTTCTTCTTAAAGCAAAATACCGCAAAGGACTTTTGATTTTATAAGTCCTTCCCTGGAACTTTTATTTGAAAGGGATATGGGTTGGTTTGTACTATAAGCCGGTGCTGGCCTAGGTATTTTTGTTATGAGCAGGGAGAGTGCAAGACACACTAATACTGTAAATCACAATATCAGAACTGCAGGTTGATGTCTAAGAAAAACCCACCAGACTGAGCGAATGTTTTATACAGTATTAAAGTGCTTATGGTACCTGTGTGAACAGTTCCAAATAGAACATAATTGTAAGTTTACTAATATCATGGGAATGAGGTTGTTCATAACTTCAAAATGCCTGTAACTCTAAAAGATGTGCTCAACCTAAAGCTCACTTGCCCAGTTCCTGACATCACAATAAAGCTGGCTGGATTTGTTGATCTAAACTTCCATGTTCTGAAATGGAATACAGTGGTACCTTGGTTCTCAAACGCCTTGGTATTCAAACAACTTGGAACCCAAACACTGCAAACCCGGAAGTAAGTGTTCCAGTTTGCAAACCTTTTTCCGGAAGCCGAACGTTCTCCGCTTTGAGTGTTATGCTTCCGTGTTGAGTGTTATGCTGAAGTCTGTCTGGTTTTGCCATTTATTTTGCGTTTTTGTTTTTGCAGCTCCTTTTGTTTTGTTTTTGTGACTGTGTGGAAGCCAGTTCAGCTACTGACTGACTGACTGATGGATTGATTGATTGTGTGACTGCAGTACATTGTTTATTGCTTTCATTTTGTGGATCAGTGGTCTCGTTAGATAGTAAAATTCATGTTAAATTACTGTTTTAGGGGTTGTTTTTAAAAGTCTGTAACGGATTAATCCATTTTGCATTACTTTCTATGGGAAAGCGAGCCTTGGTTTTGGAATGCTTTGGTTTTGGAACGGACATCCGGAACAGATTAAGTTTGAGAACCAAAGTACCACTGCAAACAGAACCCAAGGATACAACCAAAAGTAGTAGACACCAACTGGCCTCATCCCTCCCCCTCCATAAAGTGCAGCTCAATATTCCACAGTTCAAAACGTGATTATAGCTCAGTCAGCAGAGCATGAGACTCTTAATCTCAAAGCAGTGTGGTGTAGTGGTTAAGAGTGGTGGACTCATAATCTGGTGAACCGGGTTCGATTCCCCGCTCCTCCACATGCAGCTGCTGGGTGACCTTAGGCCAGTCACACTTCTCTGAAGTCTCTCAGCCTCACTCACCTCACAGAGTGTTTGTTGTGGGGGAGGAAGGGAAAAGGAGATTGTTAGCCGCTTTGAGACTCCTTAGGGTAGTGATAAAGTGGGATATCAAATCCAAACTCTTCTTCTTCTTGGGTTTGAGCACCTATTGGGCAAAAGATTCCTGCATTGCAGGGGGCTGGACTAGATGACTCTTGTAGACCCTTGCAACTCCATATTACAGGCTGCTAATGGCCATGATAGGGAAGCAGACAATGTAATCATATACAGTCATACCTCGGGTTAAAGACGCTTCAGGTTGCGTTTTTTCAGGTTACGAACCGCCAAAACCCAGAAGTACCGGAATGGGTTACTTCCAGGTTTTGGCGGTCACGCAAGCACAGAAGCACTAAATTGCGCTTTGAGCATGCGCAGAAGCGCCGAATTGCAACCTGCACATGTGCAGACGCACCGCTGTGGTTTGCGGACGCTGCGGGTTGCGAACGTGCATCCCGCACAGATCACGTTAGCAACCCGAGTGTCCACTGTAATTTTATTCTATGATTACATTGTCTGCTTCCCTATCATGGCCACCACCAGCCAGTAATATGGAGTCAGAATGGGAGGAGTACAATTACAGTGGTGCCTCACAAGACGAAAAACGCGCAAGACGAAAGAGTTTTCCGTTTTTTGAGTCGTTCCGCAAGACGAATTTCCCTATGGGCTTGCTTCGCAAGACGAAACGTCTTGCGAGTTCTTGCGAGTTTGTTTTCTTTTTCTTAAAGCTGCTAAGCCACTAAGCCGTTAATAGCCGCTAAGCCGCTAAGCCGTTAATAGCCGCTAAGCCGCTAAGCCGCTACTAGCCGTGCTTCGCAAGACGAAAAAACCGCAAGACGAAGAGACTCGCGGAACGGATTAATTTCGTCTTGCGAGGCACCACTGTATTGTTATTAGATTCAGGGCCGGATTTAGAAGGCAATTGGGCCGTATCTGGCCCCCGGGCTTTACTTTGCCTACCCATGACCTAGCTGATACAAAATAATTGTGCATGATACATGAGACACCATCATACATGGGTTATGGCACAGCTTCTAAAAAAAATAAATAATCAGTAATAGAGCACTGCACAGGAATACTTAGTGTAACGTTGACTGCATACATACCATAGATTTAAAACACATTTAAAAAGCACATTGACAGCTGAATCATGGGAGTTGCATTTTGCTAAGGTTGCTGGACATGTTAACTCTGTGAGGGGTATACTATAGTCCCAGGATCCTTTGGGAGAATCTATGTGTTTTGAATCTATGGCACCTTCAGTACTATGCTGTACTGTGCCACGGAACTTGAGACGAAAATGGTAGCTGTTCCATTCGTATGAATTACACTGATGTTAGGAATATCAATTTTCCTAAATTGTTTTCTCTCCTATAAATGCTTTTGATAATCATCCTGTGTGTCTCCTTTCATTCCCTGTGTTTTTTGTTCTATCAGCACAGTGAGAAATGCCCCTGTTTTCATCACGCTTTATCTCCACTGTCACACATAGAATAAAAGTTCACAGGCGTTGCTTAGATCTTTTCCTTTATTCTCTCTTTTTAGGATTTGACCTGTATAAATCTAGTTAGGCTTCGTTGGTTGTTTTTTTTCATTGTTGTATAAAATGCAATCACTTTCCAATCTTTGAATAGGTTTTTCCCCCTTTTTTTATTTTGTTCCCCACAGAATTTCATTGATCTTGT